TCCTCCTCCCCCTCCTCCTCATCCTCTTCCCATCTCTACCCAACTTAGGCCCATCCAGGCCAATATCGTCAAGTAAGGTAGTCCTCGCTGTTGGGGCCCATGCTAGCGGGTCAATGGACATCGCCGAATGCACCAGGAAATGTGTATCCCGTTAAGCTTTGGGTAAGGAAAGTGCACAGTATGAGCGCGCGCGCTCGGGGGTGGGCGCGGGCCTTTTTCCTCGCCGAACCACGAATAGCTGCAGACAGCCAAGCATGTGTCTGCGCATGTGGTTATATACATATACACACCTATACGACCACCCTGCGGGCGATAAGGAGGTGAGGGGGGAGGGGGAACCAACGTCTCACTCAATCGATCTCGCTATCGATCTCATAATCGATATCACATTCGATATCACTACCGATATCACTATCGATCTCGTTATCGATACGACTATCGATCCCACAATCGATCTCACAATCGATCCCACAATCGATCCCACATTCGGTCTCACATTCGGTCTCACTGTCGATACCACAATCGATCTCACAATCGATCTCATGATCGACGTCATCATCATCATCAACAACATCAACGTCATAAAAATCGTCACCATCAACATATCGATCGCACAATCGATGTCACATTCGATCTCCCTATCGATATCACTATCGATATCGCATCGATCTCACTATCGATCTCACAATCGATCTCGCATTCGGTCTCACATTCCATCTCACTGTCGATCTCGCAATCGATCTCACAGTTGATCTCGCAATCGACGTCATCACCATCATCCTCATCAACATCATCATCATCATCATCGCCATCATCAACATCATCACCATCATCATCATCTCCATCATCATAATCATCGGGGACCATCACTATCGGGACACCGACGGGACACCGACGGGACACCGACGGGACATCGGCGGGACACCGCGCGCCACCGGCCGCCCGGAAGAGACGCATTTGGTCCGGCCGCGCCTCAGCCACAGGGACACCGACGGGACACCAGCGGGGCGCCAGCGGGACACCGCGCGCCACCGGCCGCTCGGCGGAGAATCATTTGGTCCGGCCGCGCCTCAGCCACAGGAGACTTTCTCTCGCCCGCCCACGCGGCTTCGCCTCGCCCGCACGGCACGCGCGAACACGAAACCGAAATCGATTTCCCGGTAGGGGGGCTCTCCGTTCCACTCCGATCTCACCCCCTCACCTCCGATGTATACATCGACGGCGGCAGGGAACGCATGGCAACGACGGCCCCCGCGGCGGCCCGGCCGCAGCGCTGGCCAGGGCCGACGCTCTACCATCGGGGCTCTTCGTTCCCGACGGCGTCGAGTTTACAGCGCGCGCGGGCGCGAGGCTCTCGCAGCCGACAGCAGCCCGCAGGTCAAGCGGCATTGATCGCACGGCCATTGGCCGGCGATGGCAAGCATTGATGGAGGGGCGAAGCTCCGCTCCCACAGCCTCGAGCCCTTCCATGCGCGTTTCTTGTCGCATTCGTCGGCGATAAGCTAGGCGCGCATGCGCTGGCACAGCCTCCAGAACGCCATTGGCGTTAGGCGTCTGTTGCTTACCAGTGCCATCCGCTGTCGCGGCGCCACGGGCCCCGGTCGTCATTGCGACGATCAGACCAGTTGCTGTAGTCGCCCTTTGCTCCAGCCCCGGCTGGGGGTACCCCTCCACGCACTCCAGGCGTTGTCAGTAGGGGTTCGGCTTTGCCCCCTGGCCCAGGGGCGGCGCTGTTCCGCGGGAATCTGCCGGGGGGGCGACGACGCCGCGCCGCCAGACTCAGCTTGGCGGAAGTCCCTGCACAGGCGCGGGCGGACAGCGGGCGGCGAAGCCGTGCGATCACTCCATGGCTCTCTCGGTCGTTTCCCGCCCTTGCCCTTGCCTGTAGCATCTGGAAGGGGCGGGGCAGCGCCGCTTGACGCACTGCCCCTGCCACCCTCGTTCTGCGGAAATGCAGCCGCTTGTTTTGCTGTCACTCTTGCGGGTGGTGACGCCGAAGGGCTATGCGGTCGCTTTCTGCTGATTGGCCGCGCAGCCCGCGCGGTGGTCGCCACGGGCTGGCGAGTCCGAGCCCCTCGTGCGATTGGCACACGTGACGGGCGACGCTCGTCATCCGAGTCATGGGGCGGTGGCACTCCGTGCTGCGCCCACGCCTGTAGTGCGTAAACAGCAGCTTCATACACGCGCAGCGCCCACTTCTCAGTCGCCGAATGCCTGAGCGCGTCGACTGTGAACTGTTGACCTCGGAATTGCGCGTCTGACTGAGACTGCAGCGCGTATTGCATGCAAGCCTCGATGTCAGGTGCGTCATCTGCAATATTCGGCAAGTCCTGTCGGTTCATATGTTTATATACATATATATATATATATATATGCCCTTGTGAACTAACTCGACGAGCGCGCGATGCCACTTAATAAATGTCGAGCCCCCGAGAGAGTGTCTCACGGAACCTGTCCACCTCTTCGCGATGAACGCGTTTGGCATCATTACTTGCGTGAGCCATGTCAACCAGTGCCAATTGGAAACCCTTCGAGGCTTCGATGGTAGCCCTGTATCCTTGCTCAGCCAGCCATGTCTCACTTGCATCACCTAGGTCTGGATCATAGGCACAGAGCCGTGGCGGATCACTCCACATTGCGTATAGCTGTTCTTCGCATGAAGCGCAAGTGTCCGCCTTGTGGTTCGCGGGAGAGACGTTGACCGTGGTGAAGAACGCCACCAGCTCATAGGCTGCCTGTCTGATACTGTACTGGTTGACCTTGCTCGTCACGTCGTCCTGGTATGTGCTCTGACCCCTGCCGGGCGTGCGCGACCCAATCCTTCGCTGGCTTTTGGAGCGGGCACGCCTACCTGGGGCACGCGATCTTGGCCTAACGGAGGGAGCCCAGGGTGCACGCGCGTCTCGATGGCGCACAGCCCTGTTCCTGCATCTTCTGGGGCGGCCAACTCTTCTCTTGGTTTCCAGAACTCCTCGATTTTGTCTTCAATCGCATTCAAGAGACAGTCGAGGCGCTCTGGGAGATAATCTTCATTCTCGTAACACCGTTGACGCCATCCTACGGTAGGCTCAGTGAGACCAATGGCATCATGGTCCGTTGTGTCCCAGTCAAAGGTGGTATTCCCATATCTGTACCATAGTCCGTATTGTCTATACGCCAGGTCAAATATGCCCACCATTTCCATGGCGGGCAGACAGCATATTGTCCAGCTGGCGGGCAGCCATCGGCAGGACGTTTGTCGTTTGGCGATGCTGGAATCCATGCGAACACCGATCGTTCGGCGGACAGAGTTGCCGTCTTGCCCGCCATAGCGGCATAGTATCGCGTGATGGCCCCGTCGTAGGTATCCTTTCTCCGTCCCTCGCGGTAACGTGCTTCTGTGCGATCAAGATTCTTAACAACTGCTGCCCTGGACATTGTCCGGCCGTCACTACGTGTATGGTACGGGCCTGGATTCCCTCGGTCTCTGAGGAACCCTGCGGCTCTCCAGCCAATCGCTGGTTTCATCTTGTCCCCAGATTACATTGATACCTCATATATGATCCCTTCACGGCAAACGACACATCCTATCATGCCGTACCTCGACTTGTGCCCGATGTGACACACGAGGCATAGATCGTCTTCCCAGCCTGGTGCTTGCTGAACTTCAGCAGCAAGCTCTGCGTCGAAAGGATTAAAATTGTGTCCTGCTCGAATCTGCTGCTTTGACTCCAGCACGTCGACGCACCCGGTCCTGGCGCGGGTGACGACTTGAACCATTGTTAGCCGTCTATCACAAGTGACGTGCCATGACAGCTTGTTGCCAAGTTATTCGGGACACGTAGAGATCTGCCACATGTGGTCCCATAACAAGACACTGTCCGTGAATAGTTGGCCCGTTGGCAGAATCCAATGCTGATGCGCCTCTAGGTGTCGTGCACTCATGGTGGCAAAGTATTTGCCGTTGAAGTCCTTCAGATGCACGGCAAATACCGATCGCTTAGTCCGACCCAAGAAGTCCTTAGAAACCCCGTCCTGGTGAAGGAATGTCGGGAATCTGTCGTCGCTTTCCTGGCGGATGCGTCGTTCGTCTCTTTCCATTAACTGTTCGGCTTCCGAAAAGCTAAACGGGACATGTATATCCCCGGGCGTCAGCGCGTCAAGATCATGGATCTCATGCGCGTTTTGGGACATTGCCACCGTGTATGCTACAGTGCCATATTGCCTGATGCCCGTCGTCACGTCATAGAGCGGGGCTCTCGCCCCAGCCTGACTGTGTCGCACGTCAGCGTCAGTCAACGGAATAAGTAGTGCACCGTGTTTCTCGCTCATGCCAGGATCGTATCTGACGTTTCTGCGATATGGGCTTATGGTCCCTAGCGATTCACCGTGCACGGCCCTGATTAGGAGTGGTCGCGTTGTCGGAGTTCTATTTATAAACCTCTCCACATCACTTCCCTGGGACGAGTCAGTTGGCGGAATGCAAATGGGGGGATAAGTCCAGATGGGGAGAGAGGCGCAACCGAGGAACAAATTGTACCCACGCCCCACGGGGAAGGTACACATTGTACCGACGCCACGCAGACAAGGTACAAATTGTACCTTTGACAACGTCCGCGACATGTGCGAGGATGTTAACAGAGGGGGGGACGGTACAACTTGTACTTGCAACCCCAAGAAAAGGTACAAATTGTACCCCAACAAAACGGTACCGGATACTCATCCCCCCATGTCCTGATCCCCCCATCGCCATCCGGCCGAGTCAGTGTCTCCGTCGATTCCGGAGGCTCCAAACCCTTTCTTGGTGATTTCGTAGAAGCTCGAGTCCCAGTCCATTGGACGGGAAGTGGGGCCTTCGTGAGCCGCATTGATCTCCACTCCCAACATCTGCACTTCGCGCTGTGAAAACTTTGCGACCGCATGCATAAACCGGGCCCGCGGGCGATCGTAGCCGGCATCAGTGGGCATCTTTATCAGTACGTCCACTTCCACCCATCCTCCTGAACTCAGCACATGGGCTGAACTGTGTCGAAGGAGGTGAAGAGTGAGCTTTGCAAGACGGAATGCTTCACCGCGGCCCAGCTCGCTCGCGATAGCATATAGCTTCGGGCGTAAGTGTGGATACATCGGCACCGGAGCATTGCCTGATCCAGGCAAACTGCGGCTCTCGATCGTGTTATACCGAGCACGCAAATATCTGTCTACCTTGGCACGCTCGGCCTCTGGCAGGTGCCTGATGTAATCCAACAGCGGGTCAACCACGAAGTCCGCATAGGCGGATAGCCGATCACTTATAATCGCCCGGGCCATTCGCTGGCTAGGGAGCACTGGCCCATTGTTGTGTAATTCATCGATCAGTCGTGCTTTTTCACCGGCTAGTGCAGAAATATTGTTCCGACGGTATCCTGGCGATGCAAGAAGAGGGACTCTTTCGCCATTGGCGAGTAACCCCTCATAGGTCAGCTCCTCGTGTTCGAGTCCGATCTGGGCTGACCCGCCTATATCCTCATGCGACGGCCACAGTGTCATCATAGCCTCTTCTGATATCTGCTTCTCTTTAGGAAGCGGCAGGTCACCGTCGATGAGTAAATAGTGTTTACCGAATGGCGTTCCCTCATCTGGAACATACGGACGAGTAGCCCAGCAACAAATTCCAGTCCGGTTGCTTCCGCGCTCTTCTTCCCTGCCAGATACCTCGTCGACATTGTGGGTATGCTCGCCTTCTTGATCGGCCGCAAAGTCCAGCTCTGTCTCCTCTTCAACTTCAAACGAGGACTCGTCGGACTCATCGACAGTCACGGCCATGATCTGTTTCCTGCACTGCTTTTCGTATCCCGTCTTCTCGTACTCTATTATTTCTGCTTCGGCCCTCTTGTGGTGGGCATCCGCCCATCTGCTGTACATCCGGCACCTGGGGGTGCATCGATCCAGGTGCATGGCTGTCGGGGGCCAATCCATGCATCTGCAGCACCTTCGCAGCAGGTGAAGCTTCGAACCCTGGGTCACGACCATCCTGGTCGTCCTGAAGCATCCAATGTTCCAGCAGATGTAGATCTGTCCGATGCGGGAGGCAGCCGGAGACGCGATGACGTAGACACTCCTCATTCTCTCAAGCTTCTCCCTCGACATCGTCGGGGGCCGATGTTCCGGGGCTCGAAACCTCGGATCTTTGGGCTGCGTGAGTGGCGTCCCGTGGGGGTTTTCGAAGCGTGGCTGTTTGCGATCAGCCGTGTACGACCGCTTGAATCTAGCATGCCCGATATGACCCCAGCCTGAACGCCGACCACACGACTGCGCCTCTCGCCACGCAATCTCCGCTTCCTGTATCATGGCCTGCCTACCTCCCCGCCTGACTTGGCCCATTGTACTGCGCTGCCCACGGGGCTCGGTTCTGCCAGGGGCATCGTCCGGAGTTGGGCGGTTGGCTTCTCCCGGAGCTTTATCATCCTTTTGCTTGCTTCGGAAGGCCATCCAATCCCGCATTGAAATCGTTGGCGTAGACATATCCACCTCCATTGTGCTCAGACTCGGGCGTTCTTGCGACAGACCAGCCTTGTCAAGCGGCGTAACGATATCCCGTTGGCCATCGGCCACTAGGATCGGCTTGTCGAACTGTTCAGCCATCCGGTCTTCCGAATACAGAAAGCGGTATTCCAAGCTCCCAAGATCTATGCTCATCACGTTTCCTTCAGATCTCCCGGAGCTCCGCAAAAATCTCTCTGGGTTGTCGTATAATATACACGCTTCATTCCTCTTTCCACGTTTCCAATGTCTATCGGTCTGATGGGCTTCTCAGCTATTAGCTGGTCTCGAATCACGTCGTTAATTTGCGACGTCGCCGCGCCTGCTCCAAGTCAGGAGCGGGATCTACCATCGCCTTGAATTCAACTTCAAATTGGCGTGAATATTGAGTTGAACACCCATACTTGTTGCTGAGTTGCCTGACATGGTGTCATAAAATACCGCTGTAACGACTGCTTGACAATCAGCTCTGGCGCACTGCACACGCATTGTTTTCGCCCCTTTGACTGCGAATCGACCAGTCGGAAACCTCCTCGCATAGCCGGCGGGGAGGCGAGCTTGATGTCCACGGCGACGATGTTGCCATCATCCCAGAGCTCCGCACCGTGGCTGTAACGCTGGTGAAGGTGGTGGATCGACTCGCTTTCATGGAAAGCATACACACCCTCGGCGGGAGCTTCATATTTTGCTTTCTTGTCCGTTTTCGCCCTCATACCCCACTTTAGCTTAGAAGGATGAAATACACCTGCGTTCAGAATCGCATGGAGCTTGCGGACGTCAGCGGCGTGCGAGTAGGATACCCATTTTTCTACCTCTATAAGGTCATGAACCCAATCAGGCAGTCGGAAGGGCATTTCCAGCACCGCGCAGGATTCCTCAGTGAACTTCACCATGCTCCAGTCGAACAACGCAGAGCACGATGCCTCTGGTAAGTTTGTCGTGTGTCATCGTCGCGGCACCAATTATTCGATTGCCCTCCTTGCGCAGTGTTCTGCCGTGATTCGCGGGGAACGTGCGAGACGCATCCTCTTCGCCACCCAATCTCGAGCGGCGACCCGTCCCTTCGACGTTTTATACCACTCATCAGCGAAAAAAAAAAACGATCCGCCTAGGTCGAGTTCTTCGATCGGGCTCACGCGGTACAAGCATCAGTCCATAGTCAACGACCTGAGTATGATCAAATATCGTCTCGATCGGTGGCAGAGTGTCCGATCCGTCTCTTGTGCCGATTACCACTGCCTTCTGATGCTCCTCGCACGCGTTAAAGAAATCGGGGCATTGCACCCTAACCCGCCCGGGGGGAAAAAAAAAGACTATGTGTTCCACGCTATTCTCTTTGGTCGAATGTTGCAGTACGCTCTGGATAATTGTACCCCACAGAGGCTTGCCAATAGTGCCCAGACTGTCGGACGTTGCTGTGGCAGCGGCAGACACTTTTGCTGCGCTTACCTTCGGCGCAGCCTTCTTGCGCTCCTGCGCCGTGAACAACATTGTCGTCCCTTTCTCGATCGCTTCGATCACTTTCTTCATGCTTTCATCAGTCGGTAGCACTTCCACGTGCAGCTTCTATCTCCATCCCGTAGATATCGACACTGTCGTTGAACGGCACCGTAGTATATCGCCGATCCGCCCATGCCGGTCTATCGTCCTGGTGCTCTTCCAGCCATGATATGAACTCCTTAGAACTGACGTTCACCGAATCGGGCGGCAAGTACTGAGGAGCTCCAACATCACCGAACGGGAATATCTGGCCCACCTGGCATTTCGCTAATCGTCCCTAAATAGAAATCACATCTCTTATCATGGGTGCTTCCACGCCTGGGGGCCTAGGCATCGGCGCATTGGCCGGCGATGGCGGCGCCATTGGCGGCGGCGGCGGCGGGGCAGTTGACGCCCCAGCACCTTGCGGCCGTTCAACGTTATCGAAGGACGGACAAAAGAGTTCGTAGCAGACCTTCGGCGCATTTATGATATACTTGGCAAAGTCTATGGCATATGAGTAGTTGTCGACACCGGATAAGAAGTGCCAGTTGTCGCTCTCAGGATGCTCTCCGCGATGATATATCTCCGAGCCACGGAGCATGAGCATCTTCGGATTGTAACCGGCCTCTTGGTAGAGGTGCATCCGATTCTGTCCCCGCGCAAAGGTGCGAGATGCGAGAGTGCCCCAAATGGTGCAGTCTGAACTGGTCTTGGCTTGATTCCAGTTTTCACCATCGCCGGGGGCGAGGACCACAAGCATTTCACCGGTAGCGTTGGCGACGTACGCCTGTTCATCAACAACGTCGTCTATCATCGACAGTGCGTCTCCTTCGACATCGACGTAATCTGACGGCGTATCTTCTCTTCTGGCCCCCTTGACTCGCCTTTCCAGGCCTTCACCGTGAACGCATAGTTCAATGCCGTTCCATATCATGACACGGCAGCGAGTCTCGCAGCTCACCGGTGGCAAGGTCCAGTTCATTGAACGCACGTTAGCCCGAATATCATCCAGTGTTGCTCCGTTCTGGATCGTTGCATTAGCAGCGGTGGACCTTTTCTGGAGCTCTTGCAGGAGAGCGGCTTCCAGCGCGGCGGCCCCCGTATTGTTGACAAGCGATATCGTAGAGTCAGAGGAGATCATGTGTTCCACGTCATTATATAGCCGATCACTCTCGCTCATGCCGGCGACTCCCACCTTGCGGTGCCATGTCCTGGTCGGAATGGGCTTGTGCCACGTCGAGAGTGGCACGTCAAAAGCCGCATAAAGGTAGATTGCCTCTCCTGAAACGCGAGAAGAGATTCCCGCGGCCCTGATGAGGCTACTCACCGCAGCGCAAGCCTGCGGGAAGCTTAGCCTGGCGAGTGATGTCACCGCTTCGGGTCGGTCGAATGATGCAGGCAAGCGCTTCCCCGATTGAGCCGACCGCATTGCGGCATTCGAGCTTCGGTACGTCGTTTGGTAATATTTCCATGCCCATGCGAGGATCTAGCCTTTCTGCCGATTTGAACCATTCGTAACAATACTCCAAGGCATTCCAATAACCGTGGACGCCTGTTCTATCGGCGAAAGCACATCGATGCTGCTTCTTGGCTTTTCCGTCGTCGTTCTCCCTTGGGCCGGCAGCCATTGGCTGCTGTGGCGCGGGAGCCGCCGGGGCGTCGTAGCTGCGACTCTGGACTCTTCGGCCCCGCCCTTCGTTACCGGGCGCTTCGTAGTCGATAGCATGGGGCCATCCCTGCGCATCCGCGTCCACTTCCATCGGGACTGGGGACTGAGTAGCCTCGAGAACATCGTCGTCAGGTGTCTTCGTTCCCCCTTCCAGCGTCGGGTCTGGCCCATCTTCACCACCCGGTGGCGTGTCTGTCCCCATCTCTTCATCTGGTGGAATGGGGACTTGCTCGGGACGCCGCGTTGCCTCATCAAAGTCGTATTTTGAGAGGCCCGGCGGCAATGAGGTGACCGTCGGTGGCGACATGGGAGCCAGTCTTTGCTCATCGGCTGCCGCGGAGGCGCCAGCTTCTGCACGTCGCTGTTGCTCGGCTTCAGCGGCCCTGCTGTCCTCGCTCATCTGTTGTTCCCTATCAAGACGCCGCTTCAGCCCCAGCCCCTGCGATTCGCTCGCGGCGTAGTCGCCAGTGGCCTGCTAGTCCATACCGCCCGAGCCATGGGCTGGAGAACGTGCCGGGACCTCCTCTTGTGTAGGGGTACTCGCTGCCTCATGTTGTTCTTGGATTCTGCGTAGGCGCTCCTTCAGTCCCTGCATATACTGGCTGGCATAGTCGCCAGGTGCCTGCTGCTCTCGGCCGTCCGCGGCGCCCGCAGACGAAGTGCGCGGCGGCGCGGGAGGTGCCTTTTTCCGCCTGGGCTGCTTTTTGGGCGGGGGCTCACCGAGGCCTGAGACCTCGGCGCCCCCCCCTCGCCATCGGCGGGAATAGAGGGCGGCGCGCCAGGAGCCTGAGGCTTTGGCGTAAGTCTCTCGTACGGTGCATTGTAATTCGGGGCCGCGCTGGGAGCCGGAGGCTTCGGCTGGCCCCCCTGTCTTGGGCGCCAGTATGGCGGTGGCGCCTTGGGGGCCTGAGGCTTCGGCGGGCGGCTGTCGCCCTGATCGCAATACGACGGTGGGGCCTTAGGGGCCGGGGGTTTCGTCGGAGGCCTCGGCGCCTTCTTGGGCGGCTGTCCTCCGGTAGGCGCTTTGGGCGGAAGAGACGGCGGCCCCCTCGCCCCGTAGTCCCGGACGGCTGCCTCGTACCATCTTCCCTCATACGATTCCAGCGATTCAGTGGGTTGCCTCTCCCAGACCGTTCAAGGCGTGCAGATGGGGGAGCAGCTTTGCGCTCAATGTCGACGCGCCTCGCTGTCTCCTCCTGCGAGACTCGCTGTCGCAAGTTGAAGTATGGCAACGGCGCTGAATAGAGGGGAGTTGGATCGAAGTCGATCTCAGGCATCCCCTGATCACGCCTGCGGCGGGGCTCAAGCGAAATGTAATCAGCACGCTTTAGCCAACCGTAGTGGACAAGGCTGTCCTGAAATTCCACTATGTACTCCTGGTCGTGTGACTTCCTGCGCCCCTCCAGCGTTACGTATGGCCATGGATCGCGTGACCGTGCCGGTCGCTCGCTGGGAC